ACTGCGGACAGCGGCACTGACGGAGAAAAATAGTGGCTGGCGAGACAAGGAGCGAGCGAGCAAAGGAGGCCGGACCAACTGGCGCGGAGGTGGAGCAACGCAGCAGGCTGGAGCCTCACCAGGACAGAGGCCGCAGCGGGGCATGCATGGAATTGCGAGTGGTCCTGGCCTGGAAATGAAATCGCTACAGCCGGAAGAAGGAACTCCAAAGACTTTTGTTGTAAGTCGCCCTGAGTCCTGCTTATAGGGAAGGGCAGCCTAGTAAATCGAATTGGATAAAATAAATAATAGATAAATGATTTTTTTTCTTCTTTGTATACAAGGCATTGCTATGTTCCAACAACAAGGACATAATACTTGAAGCTAAAGGCCCATCCGTTTCTGTATTGGCTCCCCTCCCCCTATCTGCCTATGTATTGGCTCCCCTCCCCCTATCTTCTATGAACAATCCCAACAAATTACTCATATTGTCAGTACATAATTTATAGAGGGATCGGGACCCTTGGCTTTCAAGGTGTCATTAAAAAGGCTAGCATGAGGTCCATGTGACCTAAATAGTTATAGACCCAGGGGTCGTTTGGGCTCGGAGCATGCCGGAGCACTGCTCCGGGAGCCCAGGAGTGGGGACAAATGGTGATGGCGGCAAACCCAGCTCCCCACCCCCACCCCCAAGCTCCTTCCCTTCATTGTATTCTGTGGCCCCATAGAATACAATGGAAAGATCACACCGCAGATGTGGCACATGTATTCTATGGCCTCATAGAATACAATGAAAAGATCACACCGCAGATGTGGCACGACTCCAGAGAGAAGGGTTTGAAGTTTAAACCCCTTCCCTCTGGAGTGGCGTCGTAGCAGTGACACAACCTCTCCATTCTGTTCTATGGGCCCATAGAATAGAATGGAGAGATCACTCCACTCCTGCGGCATGACTCTAGAGAGAAGGGGTTTAAACTTTTAAACCCCTTCTCTCTTTGCTTCCCCCACCCCCCAGCCCACCTTGGTAGGCCGGCTGGGGAAGCAAAAAGGGGGGGCATCTTTAAAAGTCTCCCATTCCCCAGCTTG